AGGCTCTCCGTCTGGGGGGGGGGGGGAGGAAGGGGTAGGAGCAAAGAGGTGGCTCTGGAATTTATTTAAAACTGGAATCCAAAGCTTTCGGGCCGGGAGCATTAACAACTCCGCTAGGAATCTCAAACACTTGCTGGGGCTCTGTGGCGAAACGGAAGCGAGGGAGAAGGTCAGCAGGGAGAGCGGTTTGTCCCCCAAAACGAAGGGAATGCATACAGGACTGACTGCTTTTCTACGCGGTGGGGGGGGGGAAGTCTGCTGCACTGGAGGTGGAGGGGGGAAGCATGCTTCAATTTTCCTGAAACTCAAGTCAGAGTTTGCTTTTCAGCTGCAGCTTTGATGGGATCTCCAGATCAAACTCATTAGCCTTGCTTAAATCCAGGTCCGCAGCTAGAAACGTGCGGGACAGCAAACAGAATCAGTATTAGGCCTCCGGAGAGGATGTGCCTCTTTAATTGAAAAAGGCAGAGTAATCATTCATTTATTTAACCCAGAGATGATTATAATCTGAAAACCTTGAAATCCTCTTACACAACAACTGTTTTGGCAAGCCCCTCTGTGTTCCAACAAATATTAAACTGTGCTTGCCATTTGTCTAAGGAATCTTGTATTAATAAACATGAAGAAGAACACTTTTACCTCCCACACTCAGTGACAGAAGAAAACAAAGACCAGCTGTATTCATCAATGGATCCTTGTTCTGCACATAAAGGCTAATTACATTTTACTTCAAGCCTACACATGGAAAACTTTGCTGCTGCCATCTTGTCAGCCGCAGCTTCTGATATCCCAGCTGACAGGCTGCACCGCCTGCACATAAAACACTTCTTTTTGTCATTAACACCTTCGGTGCCCGGCGCACGGGGCGTCTCTTCGAGACAGGGGCCCAGGAGAGGACAGGGCCCTGCTGCCGGCGCAGGGCCGTTAGCCGGTCGCTAGCAAACCCGGCGCCGGAGGGAGGATTTCGATGCAATACATGACAAAAGCGGCTCCTGTGAGTGAAGATTTTAATTGCAGAAACTAAGCTCGGTTTTGAAGACGCCTCGCTAGCCAGGGCTCAAGAAGTTGGTCGGGGCTGGACCTCGGCACCTCACCTCCCGCAACGCACTTTGAACTCGGAAACTCAGAAAACACTACCAAAAGATAAACAAACAAGCTGACACGCGGATTTTCAGCCTCAAGATCACAACAAACGGTCACTGGGACAAAATCCAGCCTCCTTCGCGCTGACGCGGCCGCCTGCCTCCCGGGTCTTTCTTCTTCTCCGTTTTGCATGTGAAAGATTTGCAGTTACAACCCCTTAGGAGGCAGCTCGATTCCAAAACTGAAAACCTTAAAAAGTGCTGTTAGCTTAAAAAAAATTGACAATTATCTTTTTTTTTTCCTGAAGGCATGCCAATTCATCTGCATCAAATAAGTGTCTGCAAAACTAATAATTCTGGCCTAAGATAAAAATCACATGTTCTTAAAACACAAAATTAAAATTGGCAATACAAGTAGCTTTTCAGACTTAGATCAAAAGAGAGTTTCTTTTTAAAAAAGAATTACACTGTCTTTCACCACTTTTATTGGGTTTTTTTCCCCCAACATTTCTCCCAGCTTTTACAATTGAATTGGATGTCTCAGTTTCACTGGCTATATTCAGTTCCCTTTTCATGTTTTTCTAGATTTCCACATTGCAAAATTTGGGCTACAAACACCACAGACGACTGTGGTTATGCAAAAACTATGCCTGCCATAAATATCCAAAACAATGATAAATATTTCTGCTGTTATTAGGTTCTACAAGTTTGTTTTCACAGTACATTAGTTTGGGAGATAAAGTACATGCTTAATGCCTGCTTCAGGATTCAGCTCTGTGATCGCTGTGTGCCAGATCCCGACTTCCTAATCCGTCTGCTACAGAACACAATCAACTTGTTACTTCACACGCTACCAACTAGTTTCAGGTAATTTCTATGCATATTAGGAAAAAAATCATGTTCCAGACCATATGAAAATATTTCCATGCGGATTCTTCTGGAGGAATGAAACACATCAGAAATGCTAACAAACAGTTCAGGACGCATCTTTTGCCCAGTGTAAGATAAATTAAGAGTACTTAGGGAAATAGTATAAAAGAAACGAAGCAAGCGCTCTGCAAATAAAATATTAAAAGGGGGGGCGGGGAGGCTTCCTGGGTTCAGTGCCTCTGACCACTGAGCGTGATCTCTGCCTTGCTGCGTGACAAAACAGTGACAGAGCTACTCCCAGCCTCAGTTACATGCAGCAAAGGAAAAAAAGACAACCTGCAGTAATTTAAAGCTCTGTCAGACTCATCATTAGTATATGTCCCTTAGAAAAGGAGGAAGTCAGCGAGGAAAAAACCCTACTTTTGAGCGCCTTATATGGAACTCGAAACACACAGGACTCACAGAGCAAAGCTACAGTTTAGCTAAGAGATTACCTTTAAGGGAGTAAAAGGTGTTTCAACACCAAATGCTCATTTCTTAATCACTATCGACTGATTTTTGCAGCCTCCAAGTTCCCGGTGTACTCAGTGGGGAACAGGACCCTCAGTGCTGGTAAAACCGCACGCGAGGAGACTAGAACTTGTTACCAATTTGACTGGTCTTGAAAACCTGTATTATCCGGACTCAGCCACGAGCCATACCAGAAAGCGCTTACCTACAGACAAAACCAAGACCAGCTCATTGCTCCTATTAAGCCTACATCACAGTTTCTCTCTTGCCCCACCAAAGAGATTGTAAACAGCCTTTTCCTAGCGTATCTTATGCACCAGAAAGTTTGGTGAGGACAGGACCAAGGATCTTCCTCACTGTTGACCCCATCACCTGCTTTCTGCAGAAGGTGGTGCAGCAGTGGTTCTCAGGGCAAGACGGGTGTTTCATCCATGCCCGTACAGCAGGCAGGACACACAGATCTGAAACGGCTTCTTCCTTTCCCACCCCATTTCCAGGAGAAGAAACTACTCTTCGGGCTTAATGGTGGGATTACTGCAGATCAGATTACTGCAGATCATGAGGATTCCTTCTCTTTACTAACTTTTCCTAAGCATGAAGAGTTCAAAAACAAAAAACAAAACAAAACAAAACCCCAGCAGAAATCTGTCTCTCTTCTTTTGTTTCCAGCCCTGATTGTTAATTAGACCATGGAATAATTGCTAGCAGTAATGACAAGGACACATATTTTTGAGGGTACCATCATGTTCTGATCTAAAATAGGAAAAATCTGCAGAAAACGCCACTCTATGTAACTTGGGGGGAATTTGGCAAAGTGATGACTGCTACCCCAAAACCAGAAAGAACCAAAGAACCTAGCTATGCAATAAAAATCCTTTACTTAACTAAATCTTCTTTATCTTGTTTCTGAAATTACCCTAATTTTAAATAAAATATAAGAGATGTCTAACATGGTAAATATATCACCTGAGGATGAAATCAAGAATGCAGCAGTATGTAGACCAGGAAAAGTGCCTTTTTGAGTGGTAGAAATTATGAAAACTAATAATCTCTCCATTAGAGAGAAAATTATGGCAAAGGCTTCCATCAGATTTGGACTCCTGAACCTCTTCTATCTCGTCTGTCTCCAACAGACAGATGTAATATAAAAGGGGTGATACCTTGAGGGAACACATAGGAAAAAAATAGTGAAATCTTACTTTGCAGTAGTTTCTTCATCGTATTTTGTTTTCAGATCAAATAGTTCTGTTCTGGTTTTTTCCAAGGCTAAAAGGCATAAACATGAAGGATTACAGCACTGTAACAGTTGTGAAAAGCAAAAGACTACTCCATTCTTTTTATTCAGCCATAAACAAAGCTGTACATCTCCTGATAAAAAATCTTTGCTCTCCCTTTCTACCTAGACAAACTATTATGGCTTAGAAAAAACATATTATTTGATTTTTCACAATTTTTTATGCTTTTCCATTGCAAAAATTCCCAGTTTCTATTCTGCTTAACAAAGCTAGACGTTATCCGTTTCTTATTAAGTTGGCTAAATTGCTCATTCAACTGAAATAATTATTGCCGTAATTCAGGGTCTAAAATTTCTTGTGTTCTCAGGGTAAACAAAAGCAAATGTGTCCAGACCTGGAATATATGAGTATGCAAAGATGAACGGAAAATTAATGGCAAGCAATTCCTAGGAACAGGCAAGACACACTAGTAGAAATTAGGTTCATATTGAACCGAGATCACTGTATATTTCATAGTTCAGAAATGTGTGAAACCAGAGCAAAACACAACATGGATCACAAGCTCCACAGCCTGTCTTAATTGCAGCAATGTCTTAATGATGTATGTGCTTCATGCTTGGCCTTATCCACTGCATTTACCAACAGACTGGCTGCAGCACAAGTGTTCACTTCAGGTGTGAAGCCCAAAAGCAGCTCTGACTCCCAAAGTGCTTGCAAGCTCTGTTGGATCTCTCTGCGCTTGCACGAGCTGGTTCACACACAATCCTGATTTGTTTAATGATCTCTGTCCTCTCACCTCCAGCCTGATCATTGGTATAGGTCAGAATAGCGATGCCAAACCTGTTTGCAAAGCTTGAACTTTGTGTTCGGCTTCTTCCAGCTTCGAGGCTGTCGACATCTGTGTCTCCTGCAATTTTCTAGAAAGTGGAAAGAAGAGGTGAGAAGAGAACTCGTAATCATGTTAAACAACTTATCTGTATTTTTCAGATTTGGAAGACAGAGTGATTAACTGTCTCAACTGTAATCAGACAACTGCCAACACCACAGAGACTACAAGGTGCTTCAGCGGGACCCATAAATCATGCCACATTGCAATACTGTTCATACTTTGCAGTCCCACTTGTTAAAATTTTAACAGCGTAGCCACCTCATAACGTAAGCTGTGAACATTATACAAGAGTTGACTGCTATATAAATGACAACTTTAGTGCAAGGTTTTCTTGAGCATAATTTGTTTTGGAAATGTCACACACATTAAGAAAATTGTCACCAAGCACCCTCTGTTGTACAAAGTTAGTACAAGAAGAATGATACGTTTCCATTTTACTGTCATAATGAAGACACTTGTTGCCATAAGTGATACACTGAATAGATGCGACAGCTGTTTCATCATAGCTGTAACGGATTTCAAATGTAGTAATATTATTAGCCACTCTTTTTTAAGAAATGCATATTTCAAAACAAATCTCACATTGGTATTTGCTATATAACATGATCAGACCTTCCAGCATGCTCACATTGCATATGTCCATTGGCAATATTGTCTCGTTTGTGTCAGCATAGTCTGGTCATGCGGTCTCTACGCTCTTTGCTAAAGGCTAGACTAAAAGGAGTTATAAAACTCATCTTCAGAAGGGAGTTACTCCAACATTTCCAGGGAGACACTGCTTTTTATGACACTGCTTTTAAGATAGTCTGCAGATTTTAGAATTGTGAAATGGCTCATAAAACAATCAGCATCCTACTTGTACTATATAGGGTGCATAAATTCATCCTCCAACACTGTTGACCACACTGATAAGTACTTATAGTGAGAAATACGCATCAGTACCCCTTATATCAAATTATATACTTTGAAAACTCAAAAGCTCTGTTATACACAGGTTGCTATTTGCATTTCATGACCTGGCATTTCATTTTAAATTTAGGCATTTCTAAATCGCACACCTTAACGATGCGGCTTACATATTCCTTATCAAAGTGGAACCACCGACAGTAGGGAAGGAAAAAAAAGCTTTGAGTTCGCCTGTAGATTCATCCCACTCGTACCTGAATTTAAACAGCCCACCCACCAACTAAAGAGCTCATCTAAACTGACAGGCTTCCACACTAAACTAAACATCATCAGCTTCAGCATTATTGCTCCGTGCGAGAAATAAGCCAAGGGGAATGCAGACTGAACAAACTCCCTGTTAAGACCTTTGGTCTTATCCAGTCAAATTTGTTTGCCCACAAACCTAACACGATTCAAACATTCCTTGCTAGTTTGCAGAAGATTAAAAATGCTTCCAAGATGCCTCCAAAAATTAGCAATGAAAAATAAATTACTTCTTAATTTTACATATAGAACAAGCAAACTATTTTCAGGATTAAGTATTAATGCAGGAACGCAGCCCGCCCCTTAGGTATTACCATGCAAGCTGGGCTGATGCATCTTTCACCCCCGTTCTGGGGTACGGCGTTTCATCTTAAGCAGCTCTGGGTTGTCCAGAGCGTACAACAGTGCTGTGACACACAGAGCGCACACAGCGCTCTGAATTACACCGTCAGCTAACGGCAAAAGATGAGTGTCACAAAGGACAATACAGCTAATGAAGAATAAAAGGAAGTTCGCACCCTTCTGAAAATGACACCCTACACAACATCACAGCGAAGCAACAACCTGTCCTTGTTTTACTTCTGCGCTTTCTTTCTGTGCAAAGCTGAGTATCAAACGATTCTGTGTCGAACACATAATCACTCGAATCACTCAATATATGAGCTGTCTCCGCGCACCGACGAAAGGATCCTGGCTGGGAAGATTAAACGGAAAAATATGTCTCTCCTTCTCCACAAAACCGGCGGACGCGCACACAAACCCACTCACCTCTCCTTCTCCGCAAAATCATTTTGTAACTTTTGTTCTTTCTCGAGCGCTATATTCTCAGCTTGGTTCTTCAGGGTCTGTTCATATTCTCGGATTTTCTCTTTAAGTGCTTTTATTGTAACCTCTACAGAAAAACAAAAGGCAAACAATGATGAGTACACACAGCTCCAGAACACCAGGCTTTCTCTACCCGGTAGGCTCAGTGTGTTTTAAACTTTAGCTCTTCAACTCTGACACAAAATCAATGGATATGAGTCCCTTTGGAGACCTTTTACTCCCTAAATGTTAAATTGAACTTTAAGCATTTAGGTTGAGAGGGATCAATGGAGTTTGCTGGAAAGCACGGTGAAGGTTTCTCCAACATGACTAGGAAAAAAAAAAATCAATTGTAAAATATAATATCACCTTATTGACTAGTCTCAAATTAGCTCGCTGCTGAGTGGAGATTAATAAAGTCCCAGTGTGGGTTTAAGTATGCATTTACACATAGAGCAGTTAATTCACATAACCGTGCTCATGTAAAGAAAGGCAGTTTTACTATGGTTCATGCACAGATGCAATCTAACACTAATTGAACACATAGCTGGGATACAGCTACGTTCTGCTTCAGGACTGATGAAAAATACGGCAGTTGAGATTTAACTGCTGTATTAACAGTAGATCAGATTCAACAGACATGGTGGAGCCCTTTGCATTCGGTTACTCTAACTGCTGTTGTCATCGACGCTGCGCTTTACATACAAACATTAACGATCATAACTTTCTGCGTGCGTTTTTGGTCTTCCACAAGCGCAAAGGAATTCCAAGAAACCTTTCTCGCAGACAGAGAACTTTTCTGCGTTTACCGTGCACCGTAACGGAGGGTAGAAGCCGCACAGACCTGGCCCTGCAGAGCCTCTGATGGGTGGTATCTCGTTACGTGCCCTAATCTGTCTGTGCAGGAAAGAAAGCCCTTTAATTCCACCCACAGGAAAGGGCAGAATCCTTCTAGGGCTTATAATAGGAAAAGCAAGACATTCACCAGAGTATGCTTTGTAACAATAATGGAATTTGGAAAAAGCATTAGACTGCCAGAAGACTCGCAGCTAGCAATACATTTCAATGTACTTGCACAGAGATGTAGTGTTTTAAAGGCATCAGTTTATTAGCAGATGCTGTTAACAATACTTTAGGGCAAAATACCTTTGGATGCAAAATGTTTCTGTAGAAACATGGCAGAAAGACAAACTCCACTAGGAAAACGAAAGCCTATGGAGTTTAAAAAACATTTCAACAAAACCAGGCAAAACTAAGTATAATCCTTTAAAAGTCAACGGGACTAGAGAACTGCAAAACCAGACAACAAATGTGTAGGGACAAGGTCCGTTGCCTGGGAAGTACACAGACGGCAGCTGGGGCCACAGGGACTACAAGAAGGGGGAACAGCTGGAGGCATGGTAAAACGTGATTGCCAGCAAACCCCCTAATTCTGAATGAATGAGCAGGATTTTGCTAGCCAGAAGTCAGATGCAGCTCATTACTGATCAACAAGTCAGGTAAGGGACACGTTGTCCGATTTTTCTTTAAAGGAAGGGGAAATTCTTCTCTGAGATCTGGGAAGTAATACGAATTCTGATCTTTTCCTGAATGAGCAGAGGATGCTGTACTATTTGTACTGAAGCAACTTTTGCTCCAGGCATAAATCTGCAAAACTATTCAGGTATACTAAGAAGCAAAGTGAGACCAGCAGGTTCAACTTGAATCGTCTCATGGAAACGCGCATGGTTGCATCTTGACAAAGTTTGCAAAGTTTGAACATTACACTGAAAAAGGAAACAAAAATGCAATAGGGGCATAGATACAGGAAAAAAATCATAATATCTCTTTCTATCTTAGGCACCTAACAAGTCAATGGATGTGTTGGGCAAGCACAGCTCAATTCTCTATGCTGCTCAAAGACCTAGGTGCCCTCTTGACAATGCAGGCCAGCTAAAGCTTTTTAGCCACATCCATTTATACCGGTTTTGGAAGAAGTTCTTAAAAACACTGTATAGCTCACACACAGCCCTGCAAACAAAGAGATTAACGATCAGAACACCCTTAACTAATAACAGGCTCTTCCCTGGATGTTTATAATCCCTATTTGAAATACAGGGTATAAATATTGCATTGGAGTGAAAAAAGCAATGCAAAGACTAAAGTGGCAAAACCCACTACAGAAAGGAAGTTAGTGGACATAGGGTCAAATTAAAAATGCCAATTTAGGAGCAGCTGTAGCAAAACTATGGGAGTCAAAGATCCTTTCCAGTTTCTGAGATGAATCCCTGCATCATGCTTGAATGCGTAGGATATACAACCCCAAGAAAGCTCGGCACAGTGAACTGTGATTACCGTATACTTCTAGCATAATTCTCTCAGGTTTGGAGCATTATAGCCCCCAGGATTTCATCTTTTGCAATCCAGCCTGAAGCCTTGCAGGAGGGGACCTGTCCCCTCTATAGGCCACACCCTCTACATTAAAAAGAAATATCTAACTGCAGATGCTCCTTCTGCTGAAAATCAGATGCAGCAGATCCACCTTAGATGCTAACGTGGCCTTCCAATGTTACCCATGTGGATGCAACAGTTTGATAGCACCGAAGAGTCTTGCTTTCGCCACGTGGCTAAAAATTTTACCGTTACCACCACCCAGAAGCAAGCGCTAAACATGGAAACTACAAGTCCTGCATATAAGGAAGCAGGTGCACAACTGAGCAAATTGTGTTTCCTGGTGCAGGAAACGTTCTTCTGAAACATAAGAAAACTTGAACAGTTTCAAAGACAACAGGCTTGTTTCTCATTGAGATTTTCATGTGTTTTCATGTATCCCGGTTTCATTAAAGCTTACTTAATAATCCTACCATCAAGCCTACCTCTAAGAAATAATACTGAATTTAAAACTAGTTTTCAAACTTCAGTACGTATTAAAAGCTGATAAACAAATACTTTTTGCAACCTACCCTGATTTTTCACCTCAGCGAATTCCTTATTGTATTCCTCTAGAGTTTCCCTAAGTTTCTGGTTCTCTGTTTCAATATCGTGCATACGCTGAACCTTCAGTTGAAGCTGCTGTCCTAAATCCAAGGCTGGAACCGGATCTGAAAAAAAAGCAATACAATAAAACATAAGGTAACAGCAACACCTCTACAACCCAAGCAGAGCACGTGTCCTTTTTTCTCCGTTAAGATCCATTTAGGTAACAGCAAGGCGTCGCTTCAATTTACTTTTCCTATACGTTCCTCACCTCATATCCTACATACTTCCAAAAATATAGATAGTTTATTACATCTACGTTACTCTTTAAATTGGCGAGCACCCGCTAGCCCCAAGAATTTCCCCCAGGCAGCTTGCAAGTGACTCTCAGTTGCTCCACAGGCTGCAGCAGCTTGCAAGGAGAGGAGGGAGAGTAGAGCTAGCGTGAGCGTGGCCTTCGCTAGCTCGGGATGGGGCACACGAACTCAGCTGCACTCCGTTACCATAAAATCATCTCTCCATTACCCAGAGGACGCCTGTTCCTTGCACGGGCTTCCAGCCTTTGAACGGGCTCGGGGGGGAAACACAGTCCCTTCGCATATAGGGCTTGGCTAATCCTCAGCCAAACGCTAAAAAGTAAAAGCTAAAAGTTTTTGAAGCAACAGCATGTTTTGATAGAATCGTAAAAACGATGCTAAGGCACGCAGCAGTCTCACGTTTCAAATTTTTGTTTTCAAAACAAGAACACTTGGCAATCCAATCTGAACCCAAGCAATCCAATCTGTACCTCTCACCGATAGCTAGCGTCCCTTAAATACCTCCACCCCTGCAGAAGTGAGTTTCTCAAGAAAATTGCACCCCTCTGCACAGCTGAGCACTAAAAGGTTATTTGATTATAGAGAACTGCAATATTTTTTCAAATTGACAGATCAGTAATAATAGAAAGTACTGGGTGAATTTAATTGATTCCATGAACCTCAGATTTCATGCCACTTATTCGTTATTTTTCTTATACTATTAATTTCATAAAAATTAGAAATTATTTTATATGTTCGCAGTATTAATTCCATGATGTTCCCTTCTGCTAAAGAGAGTCCTCAGGATACACCTGACACGTACGCATGCATAATTTATCCTGGGATTTCTTCCCAGTCAGAGTAGGACAATGTTGGAGTCCAATGGACTTGTAAAAGATTATTGAATACATTTCTGTTATGGGCGCCAGCATCTCTTGTGAAATGGCTGCAAAGATTTAGTCTCCTGTTGAGGAATGCTAAACACCAAACTCAGTGGATCAACAACAGTATATATTAGGGAGTTCACTTAATTTTCAACCACCACAGTCATTAATTTTTCAGACCACCCTCAGTCTCTGGAAACACATAATAAGTCTATTGTACCTCTGTTAACACATTAAGCATGAGCCTGTGTGTTTTTTCAATATGCCAGCGTTGTTTCATAGTTTATAAAAGAATAGTGCTGGGTTATGTTGAACTCTGAGACATTATAAGTAGCAGTCTGCTGCATTTTGTTACTTGGTTTCTTCAACAGCTTATGGCATTACACTGTTCATAATACAAAATCTAGGTTGCTTGTCATCTGTTCTCTGTACATACATAGTTTATGACTACATAGCTTTTTCATTTATGCTTTTTAGGCCAAATACTTTTCGTTATTATTATCTGTATTAAAATATTTATAATAAATCAAACTTAAAATGTTATTGTGGCAGAGACAGGGGGTACAGGTAAGGAATTAAATATAAAGTTTAAGTCACAGCAGTAGCAGGAGTTAAAAGTCCCTACAATATTTATGTATGGTCCAATTAAGGTACAGGCTGTCACAACATCAACCTTCTCCCATGGAGGTCTGCCAACCTCTACCTAGAATGACCATTTTGTCACGCTTTCGCAGCTCAGCATTTCTCCAAAAGAGCTCGCCCAGAATATTCATCTGCTGAACGTGAAGAAAGGTTGGATTGTCTCAATCTATCCGCCTTAAACTGTCATAGGAACCTGGAAGTATATCAAACAAGAATCTAAAGCTTCGGCTGTGATATCTCTATAAAACAGTGTTGAAATGCCATGATGAAAGAAGTTGTATTCTACAAAACTGTGGCTGTACATTTTTGTTTCAATACATCCATTACAAAAAGTCAAGACACCCACAAGACTTGTGTTCCAAATACACAAGACTTTTAATATTTAAATTACCAGGAATTGTAAGTCAAAAATAACATGGGCAGTATAAAGTGCATAATGACTAAACTTTTGGTTAAATTTGCAATCCCTCAGAAGCTTTATGTTCAAAACGAAAATGCTTGCAATCTCATAATTATTCATCAAGACATGTATATTTAATTTAGCTCTATTAAAGGTTAATGTTCAAGTAGCAAAACAGTGGCAGAACAAACAAAATGTAAAAACAGTCTCTGTGCATTAAACTTCAAACTTTGCTAGAGCCTGTTTGAAGGACTAATGGCCTGCAGCCACTAAATAGTGCTTAAGGACATGTTAAAAAAAAAAAAGCATGGCTGAAGCACCTCTACGACTTAATTTTTATAAACTGCATTAAAGAAGACTAATCACTGCATGACAATAAAATGACCAAGACACTTTGGCCAGAGACACAAATGATTCATTTCTGGATGCCAAACCTCAACATGCTCTTTAATCTCAAAAACTAAAAAGCTATGACTTTTGTATTTATAAACACCAATTAATCTGAGATTAGTATAAACCTTACAGTCAGAGTGACTTTCTTCTTACCTGAGTGGAGTGGATTTAAAAAACAAGTAAAAATACCCTCTCCTTCCCAACACATGCATGCATGAAAAAGCATACCTCTTTATATTAACCAGACTTACAAAGTGTGTTTCATGTCATTTAACAGGAGGTCACTGCATTTTTAAACAAGCAACGGACCAAAACTTTCAATTCATTACACAAACAACAGGCATACACGTTTCAAAAAAAAAAAAAAAATCAAATGGAATAGCACAGGCAAAGCAGCAAAACAGAAAATGTCTTTACTGTAATCTCTAAAGGAGAAAAACCATCACTACATCAACACTAAAACGTGGAAAAAATCATTACAAATTATTCTCTAGCTTGCAAAAGTTCATAATCCCTGCTGGGCACCGGACAAGCACAGAGTGAGAAAAGAGGCAAAGGAATCGCCTCATCCAAATCCTACAAGAGTGCCCAACAGAAGCATTATTGCCTGACTGAAGCTAGTCGAGATGCCCGTTTTATACTGAACTCTGTAAATTTGTTACTAGCTCTTCCTATTTTGTTCTCCTTTCCTCACCCACATGTTGCATCCTCCCGCGGAGGCCCTTGAGGGCCCTTGGCGCCTCGTATCGGCACGCTGCCCAGCACACCGGGGCGTCCTCCATGCTGCCGTAACAGAAAAACCTGCTGTCTTCCAGGGCCGGCAGCCGCAAAGCCTGCTCCTGCCTCTTCTTTCCGGGGAACGGCCCTTTCGGGACCGTTTCGCAGGGGCCGCCCGGGCGCTTCTCCGTGCAACCCAGCTGCGAGCCGCCCTGCGTGCTGCCACCCAGCCACCAGGTCCCACCAGCTCCCCTAGGAGCTCCTGCGGCCCTAACGGAGGGCAGCGGACACGTCAAAGATGTGAAAAAAAATCAGTCTGTGTTACCAATGGAGCAGAACGCTCAGAGTACTTAATACTTCACCCCGGGCAGGGCGGCGCAAACCGGGAGCGGTAACAAACCTCCCAAATCACTGCTGCGCAGCAGAGAGCGGGAGAACCCACGTTTCTGCGCAGCGTATGCAGGCAAACTACCTGTTTTGGGAACGGCTTCAAAAGCAAAGACAGATCTCACCAAAACGGTGCGTTACGCTACTGGCCGGCAGGGACGTTTTGCCACCTGCGGCAGCCCTTCGACGGTAAGCCCGAGCGTGACCTCAAACGCGAGCCCAAACCGGACCGGCGGCGGCCGGGCAAATGTCTCCATTGCTTGCTCTGCAAGCTGGAAGAAGAGGC